GTCCAAAACATACTCTTCTTAAAGCGTCAAGTACGCCCCCTTCCCAGGGAGACCTTCCCATACAGATAGATAGATAGCATCTCTCTGGTCCACTTAGCTGTCTCTCTGTTGTGATGCTTGCTGCATTCTTTCCTGCGTTGAAGTTCCCAGGTGCACAGATTCTGTTCCTTCATCCTTAGTAGCCAGGTCACCATCAATTCTTCTCTGGCATTGGATCCTTCAATCCTATGTGTACTTAATATGTACATTTGAAAAAGGATCCCCTTAGCCAAGAAAAGGTAACTCTGGCCCAGCAGCTATTTGTGAATCAATGGCAAAATCAATTTTGGTGCCATATTGTTATTGTCGTGCATGGAGCCGTTATCCTGGCACCATAATAAGCACTTTACTGTATGCATTGTTTTACCCAGAGCCTCCTGAGGACAGTGCTTCAAAAACCCATTTTACTATTAAGGACACTGAGGCTTTGACCTGGAGTCTTGCCTGAGGCCTCCCAGCTGGTCAGTGGCAGTTGGGACCCACTCTGGTCTTTCTGCTCAGTGCTGTGAACCATGAGTCAGAGACTCCATCTGTGCTCTTTCGGGAACTTCAGGATTTTTTTTTTGTAGAAAAGGCACCTATTTTAGTTGGAATCCTCAGTTCTTGACTTGTCCGGCTGCTTCTTCACCATTGGAGGGGAACTCTGAACAGATCACTCCCTTTCTGTGCCAGTGGTTTCCCCATTGACCAACCGCAGGTGGCCCAACTTCTCCACGTGCATTCCCAGGCTTTTCTTTAGTATTCCTGTCTCTGGTAGATTTCTCGTGTTTGGTGGATCTACCTGATTTGTGCTCAGAGAGCCCCGAAGTTACATGTTAATTTCAGAGAGAGATCCCCCGGTGAAAGGAAATGTGTTCAAAAGCCTCCTCTGGTAACCAGCCACTCTGTCTCTTCGATGACAGTAGAGCTGTTTCCTTCTTAAACAAGTCCTCCTGAATCATGTGGAAAACTGTCTTAAGAATACAAATTCTGGCCGGGTGCAGTGGCCCACACCTGTCACCCAGTGGCTCAGAAGAATGAGGCTGGAGGATTGAAAGTTCAAGGCCAACCTCAGCAACTTAGCAAGGCCTTAAGCAACTCAGTGAGACCCTGTCTCTAAATAAAATACCAAATAGGGCTGGGGATGTGGCTCAGTGGTTAAGTACCCCTGAGTTCAATTCCCAGTATCAAAAAACAGGATTTCCGGGGCAATTTTGATATTACCTGGTTTGGAGCCTGGTGCTTCTCACCTGTTATCATTTTTAAGAATACCCTGGGGGCTCATTAAAATCTGATTCCTGGAGCCTGCCCCAGATATTCTGATGCAGTGGATCAGGTTTGGGTTGGTGTATAATCATTTGCATTTCTAACAAGCTCTGCATGTGGCAGATGCTGGCCTTTGGGGACAGTCATTTCTCTTGTGCCCAGGAAGGGCAGAAGCCTGCGGATTATTTTCTGGTGTGGGAAACAGGACGGCGGAGAAAGAGAAGAGTTTGATTTCTTCTCTTAGACACCGCCCACTGGCACGACATGGAGTATTGGTTGGAGTATTGTCTGGTTTGGGTGGTGGGAGCTTGAAGTATCATGGACAGTTGGCAAAACTTGTTAGGAGTAGAAAGAGTGGCCTTTCTCAAGATGCTTAGCATGGTTGGTAGGAGCCCTGGTGGATCCTGCCATACCAGAAACCACTAATGAGTTCTAAGCCCTTCTAAGGTGTCAGGCGCTTTATTTGCATTCTCTCATTTAATCTGCAGAATGGTCCTTGACAGAAAGCATCTTTATCTCCACCTGACAAACAATAAGCTCCATCTCAGTGCAGTTAAAAAAGCCACCTGCCCAGTGCGGTGGCACACACCTGTAATCCCATCAGCTCGGGAGGCTGAGGCAGGAGGATCACGAGTTCAGAGCCAGCCTCAGCAACTCACTGAGGTCCTGAACAACTCAGTGAGACCCTGTCTCTAAATAAAATGTAAAAAAGAGCTGGGGATGGGGCACAGTGGTTAAGCATCCCTGGGTTCAATCTCTGAAAAGAAGGTACCAAGATGGCAGAGGGTGAAAATCTTCTCCATACATGCTGCAGTATTTTCACTGTAAACATGGACTGCAAGTCCTCTATGGGCAGAACTGCCCACAAAGGAAAGGGGTTGAATAGAATGAGCCTGTCTCTACTTGGAATTGTTCTGTTTTGTTTTGTTTTCCCTTCCATTGGCTAAATTCTGCTAAATCAACTTCTCTCTTCATTTGCAGCTGGGCACATTTCGGTTCCATGATGGGGATTATTTTATTGAACCGCTATTGTCCGTGGACGAACAAGACGATGAAGAGGAGCAAAACAAGCCCCACATTATTTATAGGCGTAGTAGCCCCCAGAGGGAGCCCTCTCCAGGAAGTCATACGTGTGACACCTCAGGTATTTGCTTCTTATTTAAGTGGAGATGCCAACTCTGTGAGATGGGTTCATTAGCCAGACTTCAGAGATGTAGCTCTTTTGCAGTTTGCAAGGCACTACTGTATCGTTGTCTTTTGTTCAGTCCTCCAGTGAGGTAGGTATACCCTCGGCCCCATGTAGATATGGAAACTTCAGAGCGGTTTAGTGACGTTTCAAAGGTTGCACAGCTGAAACTTGGCAAAGTGAGGATTCAAAAGCATGAAGTGGTGATTCCAATTCCTGTGTGGGCAGAGCTGAGTCTTCTGTTGCAAGTTGCTAATTTTTAGGACTCAGCTTTAGTAGTTTTTTGAAGCTGTGACAGTGATATACCCCATCAGCAATTGCTTGTATTTTCTTGGTGTGTTCTAGTGACTTTGTTTTTCTGGGCTTCTTCCTGTGTAGGGTTACAAGAATTGCCTTACAAATGGAATTTGCAAAATCTTTTGTTTTATCTGAAATTTTCCTACCAACTTCACTTTTGCTAATGTCCTGTGGTTTCAGGAAATAAAGGAGTGGGCCTGTACCCACTACTAGATCTCTTTCCATTCTGACCAGATTGTCACAGGCTGCTTACTGATCTGTTTGGCCACTGTCAGGGATCTGTCATTGCAGACACCTTGGAAAGCTGATGCTGGTCCCTGTTCTTCCATCTACAGTCCTACAGCAACCGCCATTGTCTCCTGAGCCTGGTTGCTTTCTACTTAATGATAGCTTATCGTTAAAATCATCCCTCAGGTGGGTGGGCTCAGTGGCTCACTCCTGTCATCCCGGCAGCTCGGGAGGCTGAGGCAGGAGGATCGTGAGTTCAAAGCCAGCCTCAGCCACTTAGCGAGATTCTAAGTAACATAACAAGACCCTGTTTCAAAATAAAACATAAAAAGGAGCTGGAGATGTGGCTCAGTGGTTGAGCGCCCCTGGGTTCAATCCCTGGTATAAAAAAAAAAAAAAATTACATCAACAAATTAACCAGCTCTTCAGGGTCTTCATAGTATGTGCAAATAACAAAACCTTCCAGACTGACAGGGAGTTCTTCAAATACTTCTCATATGATTGCTTGCTTCATTTTGTGTGTGGATCAGGTCATCCCCTGGTGATAGTATCTGGTGTCCTCTTCCCTCTTGGAATTGCTATTTCTAAAGTGAACCCTTTAATTAAAGATAGCATCAACCGATGACTAAGAGGGCGGCATCCTAGGTCTCGTGGCTTCACTGTATTCAGTTCTGTGTTCTGACCTCCAAGCCTGGATGAGTGTCACTGAAGTCCTGTCTTGCTCAAGATGAGCTGGGATTGGGTGGACATACCCATAGACAGTAGGCCCGGGAGCTTGTGTAGCATCAAGACTGCCACCACCAGCAAGTTTAATGGTCAAGGCATTTGTCACTATTTATTTATTTATTTATTTATGTATGTATGTATGTATGTATTTATCTGCCTATACTGCTAAGACCATTGCCCTTCACTTTTTGACTTCCCAAATCCATATTCCAAAGTACACTTTTTTTTTTGTACTGATTTTTTTATACTGATTGAATCCAGGGTGCTTAACCACTGAGCCATGTCTCCAGCCCTATTTTGTATTTTATTTAGAGACAGGGTCTCACTGAGTGGCTTAGGGCCTCACTGAGTTGCTGAGGCTGGCTTTGAACTCATGATCCTCCTTCCTCAGCCTCCCAAACCTCTGAGATTACAGGTGTGTGCCACTGTACCTGGCACAAGTACATATTTTAAATATGTCCATAAATGTATGTGAAGCATGTGATAGAAAAAATGTGTTTCTTCTCCTCCTTTCTTCATAACATGTTCAAAAGACACTGAAATAATATTCTTACCGATTAACTTTTAGAACATTATGTATTCTTTCCAAAAGTGGCTACAAACCAACATTTTAAAAAATTACTATTGGCGCTGCAAGTATATTATTTATACTGTTTCATTCATCTTTTTTTTTGGTATGGGGAATTGAACCCAGGGGCACTCAACCACTGAGCCCCATCCCCAGCCCTATTTTATATTTTATTTAGAGACAAGGTCTCACTGAGTTGCTTAGGGCCTCACTGTTGCTGAGTCTGGCTTTGAACTCCCGATCCTCCTGCCTCAGCCTCCCAAGCTGCTGGCACTACAGGCGTGGGCCACTGCACCCGGGCTGTTTCATTCTTCTTTATCACAAATTTATGAGATAGGTGCCATTCTGATTTCAGTTGTATCTGGGGAAGAAGCTGAGGCTTAGAGCAATGAAGTACCCTCGCCAAGATCTTACACCTAGTCCTCAGTAAGAGTTTCACGATCTTCTTACTCCAAGAGCCATTTCGTCTGTGTAGGTGACTGGTGGAAAAGGGAAGTTAGCTGGGAAGAGAAAGTCTCAGTGCTGACATTCCAGAAAATACTCAAGGTTCAATTATCCAAGTTAGTGGACATTTAATTTTCTGAGAGGACAAGTCATTGTCAAGACGTGTTAAAAACACTAAGAAGAAGGAATTTTAAGAGTAAATATTGAGCCAGGCTCAGTGTCTCATGCCTGTAATCCCAGCAACTCAGAAGCCTGAGTCAGGAGGATCTCGAGTTCAAAGTCAGCCTCTGCAAAAGTGAGGCCCTAAGCAACTCAGTGAGACCCTGTCTCTAAATAAAATACAAAATAAGGCTGGGGATGGGGTTCAGTGATCAAGTGGCCCTGAGTTCAATCCCTAGTACCAAAACAAAAAAGTAAAGATTGAGAACTATCAATGGAAGACGCCTTATTTTTTTCCACAAAAGCTTATTTGTGTTCTAATCATTACTGACATCTGGGCTGTATGTAACGCCTTCCAAGTCACAAATGCTGATTTTTAAAAATATATTTTAAAAAACTTTTTAGTTGTAGATGGGCACAATCCCCTTATTGTATATATTTATTTTTATGCGGCGCTGAGATCAACCCCAGTGCCTCCCCTGTGTTAGGAAGCGCCCTGCCACTGAGCCACCTCTCAGCCCCAATGCTGCTGTTCAGTTTCCTTGCCAGTGACCAATATGGTGTGCCCGGCCTTCACCCCCTGAGATGGATCAGGAGCCCAGCAGTTTCGGCTGGCTCTTCCAAAGATCGCTGCGGGACTCTGCCACTCTGGTTTCTCTCTTCCAGCTGCTTCTGCACCCCTTCTTTGAATTCAGATACAGGCGGCTCAGAACAGAGGCTCAGAACAGGTGGAAGGCACTTTGAACTGTGGCACAATCCACAAGCACCGTTAGAGGGACGGCTCTGCAGGTCTTGGAAATCTCCGACACCAGGTAGCCCTTGTCTAGGGAGTGAATGGAGATTGGGGTGGGCGTGGTCCCTCTTGCCAGAGAGGACAAGGGCCGCCTCCCTAGGCCAGTCATGCAGCTTCAGCCATGTGTCCTCCCACCCAAGAGCAGGGACACAAATGCAGATTCTTTAGAAACAAACGTATCTTGCAGAAAAATGGGATGGAACTAGAATCAGTGGCTTTCCTGCGTCTTCCAAGTGATTCAGACTAGAGCTCAGTGGGTGTGTCTCTGCTGAAGTTGGCTATAGGGCTGTGATCTCTGTCTCCTGCTGGACTTGACCTTGTATGTTGATGCCTTCTTTATCTAGGATAATACAGTATTTGCGATGGGGGAAACCTTAGCAGTCAGGTCTAATCCAATTCTCTAGTTGTAGACAGTATAGGAAACTGAGGCTCCGCTGTGGGGTCCCTCTCTCATTTCCAGCAGTGATCCTACCTAGGGACCATGTGGCAGAACTGTCTCTGGCCCAAGTCCTGGGACTGGTGCCCCAGAGTCCTCTGCTGAGCTAGGTGTCACCCTGGAGTTGCTGGATTCTGGGGATCTGAGCCAGGCAAGGCCTCTGGCCTAACCCAGATTACAGGTTGGTGGGACCAGGTCAGAAAAGGTCTAAGGGACTTGCTGGTGGCAGGGTTGAGAGTGCTTTCCGCCTGCTTGTTTCCTCTGTACCCAGCGCAGCTTGTTGACATTCTATTTCTCGAAAGCGAAAGTGTCTCTTGGCCCAGTGGCTCCCTTTCCAGATCATCTCTGCTATCATGAGCTGTCTCTGTGTACCTTGGGCCACTTGGGTGTGACCGCATTTATTTGTCTTTGCATCCTGTTGATAAGTTCCTTGGGTCCAGCACGAGGGGCGAGGGGTCAGTTTCCTATGCCAGGCCCTTGTGACTGCAGTATCCCTCCACAGTAGGTCTTCGTCAGTTCCACTGAGCTGGCCAGCCTGTCCGCCCCAGGCTGCAGGAGACCAGTGACAGTCTGGTGGGAGCCCTGGGGAGAGGAGGTGGCTTTGGTAAGCCCCCTCCTGCTGCCGATTCACTGCTGGCCTCCAGGTGAAATCCCCAGTTCGGTCTCTGACCCTGAACTTTCCCCAGGTGGCTTTAGGAGTTGTTCTAGTTAGTGACCCTCATGGGCTCCCTGGTAGATGTGGGAGAAGGAGGCAGCCTGTGGAAGGTCCCCCTGTTGGCTTGGGCTTGTGGGACAGTGTTTTTCTGTTACTAAAATTCCTCTTTCGTCTTCCCACCTCAGCAAGGCCAGCTCTCTTTGTGTCTTGTGGGATGTGCCCCTTGGCCTGCCAGTGCTGTTTCTAAGAGAGCATTGGACAGTTATGTCCAAGAAGTTATGAATGATGCCCAGTACCAGGCTCTTTTTTTTTTAAAAATAATTTTCTATTTGTTCTTTTTAGCTGTACATGACACTAGGGTGTATCTTGACCTATCACACATACATGGCATAGCTTCCCATTCTTGTGGTTGGACATGATGTGGAGTTTCCCTGGTCGTGTGTTCATATATGATCACAGGAAAGTTCTGTCCCATTCACTCCACTGTCTTTCCTATTCACATCCCCCTCCCTTCCCTTCATTCCCCTTTGTCTCATCCAAAATACTTCTATCCTTCCATCCTCCCTCCCTTATTGTGTGTTAGTATCCACATATCAGAGAGAACACTCAGCCTTTGGTTTTTGGGGGATTGGCTTATTTCACTTAGCATGATAATCTCCAGTTTCATCCATTTACACACAAATGCCATAATTTTATTATTCTCATAGCTGAGCAATATTCCATTGTGCCAATACCATACTTTTATAGCAAGAGAACAGAAACAATCCCGGTATCCCTGAGGTGAGGCATAGATCAATAAATTATAGTGTGGGCAGATGATGGATTTCTCTGCAGCCTGAAAAATGATGGCATAGATTTGTTAACAAACATGGATGTACACGTTAAGTGAACAAGCAGGTGATGAACTAGTATGTATGATATGTCACTTTTTAAGAATGTTAAGATTTACCAGGCATGGTAGCACACACCTGTAATTCCAGTGGCTTGGGAGGCTGACGCAGGAGGATCACACGTTCAGGGTCATCTCAGCCACTTAGTAAGGTCCTAAGGAACTCAGCAAGACTCTGTCTCTAAATAAAATATTTTAAAAAGGGCTGGGCTGGGATGTGGCTCAGTGGTTAAGCACCCTGGGTTTACTCACAGGTATCACCCCCCAAAATTAAGATACATATATGTGCACCTGCAAGCAAAGGCATAAAAATATTAACAGTGATTATTTCTTGTTGCCAAGAACATAGGCAATTTTTACTTTTTACTTTTTTTTTTTTTTTTTTTTTGGTACTGAAAATTGAACCCAGGGGTGTTTAACCACTGAGCCCCATCCCCAACCCTTTTTTGTATTTTATTTAGTGACAGGGTCTCATTGAGTTGCTTAGGGCCTTGCTTTTGATGAAGCTGGCTTTGAACTCACAGTCCTCCTGCCTCAGCCTCCCGAGCTGCTGGACAACTCTTTCCAACTTCAGTTTTCAGAGCATCTTCTTGGACTTCCCATCTAGCTTCCCATCCCTAAATGATCTATGGATGGCTAACTTTCATTGAGCAGGTATCATGTAGTCAGCCCTATTCCAAGAGCTTTCTGAGCTGTAGTCCCTAATTCTTCCCTTGGCTCCATTTTGCAGATGGGGAATCTGAGACTCAGAGAGGTCCTTACTGTTGACTCATCCAAGGTCACACATCTCATACAGACACCATTGTTAGAGGATTTTTCTGGCCTGTCCCTTTCTGGCTCCGATTGCATTCATCTGAGTTCCTTCTGATGGCAGGACTTTTTAAGTGCCTGCCTGGAATTTGATTTGGCTTCAGGAGGGTTGCTGATACTTGAAATTCCCACCAAGACTCTAATGCCTCTTAGTGTCTCCCGCAGGCCCCTGTTGGAGTGTCTAGAGGTTACCCATTAACCTCCTGGATCCCATTAATAATTTAGCATAGATTAGCTGATTAGATTAGCTCCCAGGCCAGTTGGGCCCAGATGGAGTGAGAGACAGAACTCAGCAGCCTCGTGAGGCAAGGGGGAGGGGTTATGTAAATGACTCTGTGGCAGTGGCAGTCCCAGGGGGAACCCTGTTGCTTCCCTGTTGGTACCCAACTTCTGCAGCCCCAGGTCCTTTGCCTCAGGCTTTACACCCTATGAAGGACCAGGTGCCAGCGCCCTGGAAGCCCCCAGGGATCCCTGCACTACTCCAGAAGCCCCAGCCCCAAGGCAGAAAATGCTCAGGTTATTCCCGGATGAGAAACTGAACTTGACCTCAGCGTGGAAACCAGGAAACAGTAGATGTGGTGACCCAGAACTGAGCCTAAAGTTTAAGTGATAGTTGGATCCGTTTGGTGTTTCTTGTTCATTTACCCCTGTTTCACCCGTATCAGTGTTTTATGATTTTTTTTTTAATTTTATAATTTTTGAAATTTTATAATTAAAAAAAATATTCTTCTATAACTTTGTGTCTAATAAAAAGACAATATAAGCAGTGACCTCTGGAACCCATCCTAAGTTATTATAACATATTTTTTTAAGCAACTAAATTTTCAAGTTTAATTTTCTCAGCTTGATCTTTACAGCATTTATATAAAAACATTGCTTTCCTATTTTTCTTTAACAAACATTGGTAATAACAGTACCATTTTTCAAAAAAATATAATTCAAGGATAATGAAACAGAAACTTGTAATATAGGAACAATTTCTCCTTCATTTGTTCTCATTTATTAGTGTAACTTTTTCTTTCATCTTGTTTTTATGAAAACATTTTATTATGAATGTCTTCTTTGCACAAGCAAAGTAGAGGCCGGAGTTAAATGAATCACCCTAAACACGTCATCTGCATTTAACAATGACTAAGATATTTTCACATTTGCCTTCTTTTATTTTCTGGAATAATTTTTTTTTTAGTATCATTTTATTTAGTTATCTAGTTGTTTATTTTTTGGGTAGGAGGGATTGAACCCAGTGGTACTTTACTACTGAGCCATATCCCCAGTCTTTTTTAAGACAATTGCTTAGGGCCTCGATAAGTTGCTGAGGCTGGCCTTGAACTTGTGATCCTCCTGCCTCAGCCTCCTGAGCTGCTAGGATTACAGGTATGTGTCATCTTCTGGAATATTTTAAAGCAAACCCAAATATCATCTCTAAAATATCTCTAAATATCCCAATACAGGTCTTTTAATACGTAACTGAAGTATGATTTCTCACCATGAGCAAAATTAACAGTTTCTCCATATCAAAAACAGTCTCTATATTAAAGTTTTCCTCATTTTCCCCCAGATAACTTCCTGGCAGCCTGTTTGATTAGAGGGTGATCTAAATGAGGTCTTTATGTTGCATTGGGTTGTCATCTCCTAAGTTGCTTTTTGCTTCATTGTTATTGTTACTATTGTTCAAATTGACATTTTCCTCCTAGTTTTAGGTTTGGGGAATTTTTTTCCTTTTTGGTGGATACCGGGTTTTGAACCCAGGGGCACTCAACCACTGAGTCATATCCCCAGCCCTGTCTTGTATTTTATTTAGTGACAGGGTCTCTCTAAATTGCGGAGGCTAACTTGAAACTTTCCATCCTCCTGCCTTAGCCTCTGGGATTATGGCCCTTCCACTGTACCTGGCTCTCACCTGTGTTTTGAAACCCTGAAGAACCAGTTCTCAGTTGGAAACTTCAGGCAGGCAGTCCGCTTGGCCTAGAGACTGAGGCTCTTTGATGTTGGATGGACTCTCTGGTTCCCTCCCTGGAGCATTTTCTCCCGGGTTCTGGATCCAGAGACAGCCAGAGGGTGCCTGCTTCAACAGCCACCCAGTCTCAGGGCCTCTTCTGTCTCCTACCCATCAGATCCTGGGAGTCCTGATTGCTTTGCTTCAGAAACCCAGCCGGTTGGAGGGAAAGGATAAAGCAGATACTTGCTAATTTGTTGCCTTCTGGGCAGTCACTGGAAACCTGCTGAGCA